AGTGTACAACAAGCTACATATACAACTTTAGTTATTATCTAATTTAAGTAGTCTGCTACACAGACAATTAGACTACCTGATTGGTTCTACACTATGCTACTATACCTGTAACCTGTCTGTGAGTTATCTATTTAAACACTCTGTTCATTAACCTATGCAGATCTAACTTAATGTCATTGCAACACCTAACCACTTAAGCCAGCTAGCTTGTTACAGATTCATTTATTCAGAACAGCTTAGGTCTTCTCAGAATACATTATACCTATCACATTGTAGATATCACAGAGCCAGTTAACCTCGAAGCATACCTACTAGAGTAGTCTGTACCTATTTTACGGATTTACCTAGCTTAGACCCTTATAGATGTTTGTACAACTCTAGTTCCTACTGTGGCTCTCTACTAGTTTTCTGTATTCTATTTTCTTGGATGTTTCACAAGGCAGATTCTCCTAATCCAGTTAGCTACCAAGCTAGGTTAGTATTACCAATTCTCCCTGTAGAACGAATTTATGCGTACTCAACTCGATCTGCATCTTTTGATCATAGTTTTCTTTTTAGATTAAGTATTAGCTGATATGACTGTTGAAGGCTATACTACTTTACCAACTCGGGATTTCTACTATACAGGTCCCCTGCTTGTAGATCCTATTAAGATTTATTCATATAATATTACATCTCACCAAATGCCTCATCATACTTCCAATATCTGGATGATATTAGTATAATGTAATTTACAGGGTTACAACTCTAGAAACAAACAGGGTTTACTATAAGTTGAGTACAAAGGTTCGAGTAATTATTCAAATTTGTTGATAGTGGGATTTGAATGCTAGACCTCTTGCATAGCAGTCTAGCAATCTAACCATTACACTAAAATCACCAGACCTATCTACAATATAATTTAAAAAGTAGATAAATGAGTAGTGGAATATATTAAAAGAAAAAGCTTAGAAGGAAATGCAAGCTGCAAAAGAAAAAGAAATAAAGAAAAAATAGAAGAAAGATTTGCACTAATACCCAAAATTCAAAAGCAAATGTTAAACAAATTGCTCGAACATCCTCATAACAAGATTATAGTTGATAGAGTTTTAGTTCAAAGCCAAAATAAGTTTGAAAACAAAACATTAGTTATAGAGAGTAATAATGTCAGAAGAGAAGTAGAAAAGTATTTTAATGAACAATTCAGAAAATGAAGACACTAATTCGAGCAAATAGATTAAGAATAGACTAATATCTATGAAAAATAAAAAAGAATCAATAAAGCTTAATATGTAGGAGTTATAAACAAAATAACAGAAAAAGAATAGTCAGAAGCTACAAGTATGCTAAAAGAAGATACAGTATCTGGTATCTCAGGCATTAGCTACAAGCTCATAAAAAAAGTAAGCTCTAAGACAAAAGAATATTTGGTAAAATTTGCAAACAAAGTAGTCTACGAAAGAAGATTTTCTAAGAAATAGAAACTAAGACAAATATACCTAATTTTTAAAAATACAGATTAGGAATTTAATTTGGCTAATACTAGATTAATAATGTTACTTGAGATGTTCAGAAAACTTGTAGTCAGAATAGTTTAAAAAAGGCTAGCAAAGTCTTCATTAAAAAACAAATTCTAAAAGGAGCTAACTTTGCAGGACTATCTAATGAAAGTACTATAGCACCTATATATATCTTAAATAATATTATCGAGGATACAATTCAAAAAGAAAAAGAGCTTTAGATAGCCTTTCAAAATATGTGAAAAGCTTTTAACTCAGTTAGCATCTATGCTTTAGAGCTTTCTATAAGAAGAATTAAATTTTCAGAAAACCTAATCACGTTTATTAAGCAACTATATCAAGATCATGAAATAAGAGTGATAACAGACGAAGTTCCTACAGATTTCTTCATAACTAGAGATGAAATAGATCAAGATGAAGTAATTTCTTTACTAATATGAAAAATATTTTATAACTTATTGCTAGTAAAGATACAGCAACTAGGAATTAGATACCAAATAGAGTTTCAGTAGCCAATAGATATTGAAAAACGAATATACAAAAAGAAAAAGCTATAATTTTAGCACTAGCATATGCAGATGATACAACATAGGTAGCAGAGTCTCAGCATGCACTGCAAGAAATTATACAAGTATCAAATAGCTTTTTTATGCTGAATGATATTGAAATAAATAGAGCAAAGTCTGAAGCAATTGCTTGAAGACCTCACAAGCAAGAAAAAGAAGATGAATTTATACAAATCAGAATACCTCCAAGCCAAGCAAAAATCAAGGAACTAGAAGAAAGTACAAAGTTCCTAGATGTTTGGATAAGCTTAAAAAAACAAGAGAGAACAAGTATCCTATGTTGCAAAAAAGAAGTAAGAAAACTAATTTATATACTAAAATACAAAAAACTCTTAGCAAGTCAGATAATATATATAAATAATACAAACAAACAATATAGGCTGCTAGGTAGAGTCATGAAAGGAAAAGGAAATCTAGCAGAAATAAAGGTTCTACTCTCATTGTTTTTAAGATACTCCTTTGTTAATACATTAGAATGTAGTAGGATACAAGATAGTATACAAGTTAGAGTAGCAAACTTAGAAGAAGCAATTATACAAAGAGTGATAGAGGAAAGAAGTATTCAGATAGAGCTTATTGATATTACAAAGAAAATTAAAAGGAAGAAAAAAATAAGCATTTATACAGATAGTTTGTTGGTAAACAGAGAGTCAGATAATTTAGTTTTTGGCAAAATAGGAATAGGTTAGGTATTAGTTGATGAGAATGCAGGTAGTCAAAATAGTATTAGTTTTAGTAGTAGTTTAATAAATTGGCCCTCTTCAACTTGTGCTGAGCTTAGTGCGATATGGACAGCAGCTTTGGTAGTACCATGTAATTCAAGTCTAAATATTTTTACAGATAGCAAAACAGCCATAGAAAGTCTGCAAGCTACAGAACTAGCAGACACCATATGCGAAATGTTTAAGATCAAGAACTGCAGTCTAATATGACAAATCAAGAACTGCTACAAGGCAAAAAGCATCAGCCTTAGTCTAACAAAAGTCAAAGGACACAGTAATAACCCCTAAAATAATAGAGCAGATGCATTAGCAAAAGAGGGTCTGAGTTCAAATAGCTAGAGATGTGAATATAGATAATCTGAAGGTCCTTCCAAAATAGGAGGGTAAGCTCATAGATTGCTCGATTAGATTTTTTGTAAACATCACAATAGCAATGACATATGAAACTGAATAGGCAGAACTTAGTAGCTCAAGAGATGTAATATATAATAAGCTAGAAAGTAACAGTGATAAAGGTATTAATTGGAAAAGCCTATGGAGCGTACTCAAAAACTACTAAGGCAGGAAATGTATAAGCTTAAAAAGAAGTAAAACACTAATGTTTAGGATAAAATATTTAAACAAGCTGCTTCCAACACGTGATGTTTGCTTTCAAAGAAGACCAAACCTCTATAAAGGAGAAACATGTATAGCATATTGTATAACTAAAGAAATATTCAGTCATTTAGCAGAATGCGTAGTATATCAAAGAATTTGAAATCATATAGAAACAATAATTATAGAAGAAGTCAGATATGAAATCTTAGAAAAGTGAGATCTTTCAATAACAAGTAAAGACCTAGCTAAGATCTTTCTAGGTGCTACAACTGAGAGAAGGTCCTAAGAAGAAAGCTGCATCTTCGGAGTCTAACTAACAAGAAATGTATCAAAAAATTAATAGACCTTTTGGCATCTAGATCTAAAGCAAATTAGATAGTGATTTGGTTTATTAATTCTTTTTAGTCAAATTTCTACAAAAGACTGTAGAAATTCTGTTATGAAGTTATGATAGAGTGGAAAAAAGGGAAAGAAATTGATCTTTGAAAGAAAAAGAGTAAACAAAGTAAAGGAAAAAGAAGAGGAATAGCAGATAAAGAAAATATTTCAGATACAAATACCCTAAAGAAAGAATTAAGATCTAATAAAGAAAAAAGAATACTTATGTTAGCAAATAACAAAGTGAAAAATTAGATTCAAAAAGGAGAGTATGCGGAATAGTTAAAATTCAAAAACAAATAACTAGGCTTTTTTGATATGGCTAGTAGTAGCCTTTTTTTGATCAGAATTAAGGTCGCGTACTTTAGTATGCATATAGTTCTAAGAGAAAAATTGCTGCTGCAGCAGATCGTATTTGGACACCAAGTAGGCAGCCGAATGAGTCTGGAATTGCAAAGAAGAGAGCAGTTTTAGAATTAAATAGTTTTAATTTTCTGTATTTGTTTTTGTACTTACTTAGTATATCTCTTAATAAAATGAAGGACAAGATTGCCTAAGTAAAAAAAAATATATATATATATATATAAACAATATAGTATTGCTTCCAAAGCTCAAATATCTACTTGCAAATATCTGCCTAAAAAAAAAATCATGTAATACTATATACCAGTCTATGCTCAGACTAATTAAATGAAAATTGAAGCTCCCATCTATTTGCACAAATACAACTCTTTGGTATAGAGATATATTTGGCATAGTAAGCCTATAGCAAAAACATATAGAGTACTATATATCAGAGCTTTTTGTAAGAATGAATACAAATAGCATTTTAGGTATAACTACATTAATGAGATTAAAGCAGTCACAACTAGATATGAATATGCTAGAGTACATACTCACTGCAAAAAATATGAATTGAAAAAAGACTAAGCACAGAAACCTTGGAGGTACAATAATATAATATGCAAAAAAATTTAGTCTAAGTATCACAAAAAATAACTTTACAGCAAGCTAGAATCTTATTAAGACATCCATGTGCTTTTGGCTAGGGTCCTTTTCGGATACGACGGACACGACGGACACGACGGGTCTCACATTGGCGTAAAGATCCAAATGCTTTCGCATAGCTACGATTGGAGACGAATAACCGGCAACTTTATGAGATGGTGAACTAATTCAATCCATTGAAAAATGTTATGATAATGTATCTAAGATAATCAAAGATATAAAATTTCAAATTACCTAACAGCTCCAAAAAGTGCCCCATCACATTCCTTTTTCATAATTTCTAAAGTTTCATCTGGTAAGGCAGTTCCATTTTTTTGAAAATATTCAAATCCGGCATCTAGGTTTATAAAACTAAAACTAGGGCTATCACCACCAATATTTGATAGCGCTTCGAGAACTTGCCTCGCACCCTAAGAAGCATATATTTAAACGTCTAATGCTTATTAAATTTATTTAAGAGGCAGATACATACAGGAATAACTTCTTTCCCAATACCATCAGCCGGTATTAAGCCTATTGTTAGTTTCTTTGCCTGACTTGTCGTCAAGAAACGTCTTATCACGTGGGTCATTTTAAAAAAAAAAACGTGCCGATCACAACTTTTAACGTTTCAGCTTAAACTATGTGGCTAGTTACACACATCATGATCTTAGGGTCATATATGTAGATCCATACAAATTTACATATGAATTCGCAAAAATTAAGGTACATTCTTTTACATAAGGCCATATAAAATTATATAATTGGTTATATATCACGGAATGGTTATGAAAAAAATGTATGTCTGAAAATATATCTTGTCGAGAAAACAGCATAGCAGACAATCTAAATTTAGAAATAATGATCAATGGCTTAGCTCTACTTAAAAAAATTTTTTATACACCTTTAGACTATGAAGTATCCTCGTAATTACTCTGAATTTTACTAATCAAATCAGCACAAAAAAGAAAGATATCGAAAGGTTATAGAACGTCTTATCTTATATTAAAATTAATTCAAAATAATCTACATCTCCAAAAACTTTACTTAGAAGCAAATATTTTTACTATATACTGCTACGTAGTACTAGTTATATTAACTATATATGTTTTAAATACTGAAAACGGTTAACTAAAAAAGAAGATTTGAGATTTTACAGTAAGCTTTATAAACTTTAATCTTAAAGAACTTTGTGTATACTATTTGATATTCTATTCTAATAATGATAGGTTTGTACTAATATTTATATTTTATATATTCAAATATTAGAGTTAAACTATTAGATTAGTAAGTAGAACTTTAGATTAAGTAGTAGATCAATATTATATATAAGTGTTAGTTTATTAATAATAAATATCATATATATAATACTTTACATGTATTTATCTACTCTTTTTTTTTTAAATTTGGCAGTCATATCAAGATTTTATTTAGATTTGCTTTCTGTTTGAAAACAACATTATTTAGCTATATACTATCTAATATCTAATTTTTTAAGTCTTGACTTACCTGGTTATCCCAAAGATACTTATGTGCGATCTGCTATAGTAACCTTTGTTCTATACTTAAGTAGCTAAAAAACAATAGACTACAAATTAATATAGGAAGGATGTTATAGCCTATTATAACTAATTTTATATCCAGTTAGTTAAAATTCTCTTCTTTACTTCTCTTGCTATGCTATCTATTGCTATTTTAAGATTAATGTTACAACTTTCTGTATTCTCATCTATTTTGCGTTTGTTTTTTTTTTTGATGACCTTTCTTTTAGAATGTTTTTTCTTTTTTCTTCTGAGTGTATTTTTCCTTCTTGGAGATTTTTTTTTTTTTCTCAAGCTTCCATTTCTTTATATCAGTTTTTCTAAACTTCTTTATACACTAGTTCTATTCAGATGTTTCAGAACAGGCTCCAGAATCTAGTTGTCATGCTTTCAGATCTGATAATTTTTTGATTCTTTTAGCATCTTCTTCATATAGTATACCTCTTAATCACTCTTTTCTCTTTTGTTGTTTTGTTTTCTGCTTACATTAGATTGCTTAAGCTAAGTTCCTTAAATTTCAGTTTTCTTCTTTTCTTTATCTTCATCAAGCTGTTTTCATGCTTTATCTTTGATTTTTTCAAGTACTTGATATGCTTTTTCACAGGTGATTAAGTGCTCAATTGTTTTTTTTTCCTTTAAACATCTTTTGCATAAACTATCTTTGTATAATTTTAGCTTTCTAAAGTTTAGTATTTCTACTATTAGTAGGAGATTTTCAATGCATTTGATTTTGAATAATCACAAGTAATTTACTTTAGTATTTTGGTATTGTTTGCAACAGCTTTCAAGTATACTCTTGAAAGCTTTCTAATCCTGTTTCTGGATTCTTGTTTGGTGTTCTGTATTATTTTTCTTTCTTAGCTAAGTCCATTCTGTCTTGTATATTGTTTGAACTATCTTTTTAACAAAAGCTCTTAGTGGGATTTCCAAACTAAGCTCTTTCTATTCAGGAATAAACTTTATATTACTGTTGCTAATATTGTTCAGCTCTATACAGTTTGCTTCATGTATTTCTTTCTTTGCAAGTGATCTGCAAAGTCATTATATATATCACTTGAGTGGCTTTTAACCTTTATCAGTATTAGCTAAGCTGATTTATTTTTGCAAACCTTCTCAATTGCACACAGAATATTATTGTTTTTATATTTTAACTACTCATATGTATTCTCATTCTTAAGACACTTCTCAATTGCAAAGATTACACAAGTGCTATCTATTCTTATTTCTACTTTATATCTATTAGGAACTAACAAAACTGCTACTAAACAAGCTACTAGCTTTGTATACATAGATGAGAACTAGTTTTCTATCCTTTCTTTATAACTAAAAACTATACTATTTGTACTATCTATTTGAACTATACTAAATCCTATCCTTGTTTTATTTCTAGTATCTTCACCAAGTGAGCTATCTGTATAAAAAACTATTTCTTTTTCTTCTCTATTTGCTTCTAGTCTCTTCTTTAGTTCTGCTCTGATTCTTGTATTCTAAATAATCTGATTAATTAGCTCTGCTTTCTAGCTATTTTCTACTTTGACTCATTCTAAATTCTTGATTTTCTTAACTTCCTCTGCTTTGCTTTTTTGGGTCTCTTTTCCTATTTTTTCTAGGTACTTCCTATTGAATACTACTTCTGGTATGTTATTTTTCTTTTATATAAAGCTTGAGATATTGTAAATTTCCTTTAATACTATCTTTTGTTTTTAGCTATTTTTCTTCAATTTAATTTCTTCTCTGTATACTTCTTGTTGACTGCATTCTTCCTGCAAGTTTTCTTGGTCTTTTTCTCAAATTTCAATTTCTACAAGCTTATTTTCTTTTCTGATAATACAACTAATTTTACTTTTCCTACCTTTTTTACCTTTTATAAGAAAAATATATTATTTGAATTTAGATTATCATTTGACTATAAAAAAATTTTAATATAATATAGAGACTTCAGCATTATAAAAATAAAAGGCTGAATTATGTAATATGATTGGTTTAAATAGAGTTTCTAATCATTAGTTAAAAAACTAACTAGTTAATAACTTTTCAACTAATTAATTTAAAAAAATTTTAAACAACTAATCAATTTATTACTAACTAGTTCAATTATAATTAATCAATAGTTACTAACTAGTTGCTAACTAATTATAACTTATATTAATTAACCAAATAACTATTACTATTAGTGATAGGATCTTTAAGTTTTTAGTTAATAATAAAAAAATTAATAAAGTGTTATTAATATTATTTATAGTTAATAACTTTGATTATCACTAATATGATAAATTAAATAAACTACTGACAGATTTAATATAATAATTCATTTAATCAATTATAGCTGTTTTTATAAATTCTGAGATACTTTAAAAAAAAAAAAATTTGCTGAAGTCTATTCAGCTAAATTTGCTAACACAGGTCAAAATTTTATTATAGAAAGCTGATATGCAGAAGATATACAAAAAAAATATTATTAATAAATTAGTTAAGAAATTAGTTAATAGTTTATATAATCATAAAAATATTAGCTTAATATCATAGAATGATAAATATAAGATATAAATAATTATATAAAATTATCTTAAGAAAGGCTAATATTTAAATGATAAATATAATTTTCTA